CGGCCCGTGCGCGGCCTGTTGGCCCGGCCGGGGTCCGGCGGGCCGGGAGGAGCCCCCGGGGCCGGGCTGCCCAGCTCCCGGAGCCCTCCGTGCTGCCCGAGGTGCTTCCTCGGCCCTGTGCTGTTTTCCAGGGAAGGCTCCGCGCGTTTCTTCTTGTCGGAGGCGAGGGAGGGGAGTCCCGGGGGCCGGGGCTGCTGAGGGGCCGCGGGGGTCATGGCCGGGAGCCGGCCCGCCCTGGCGCTGCCCGGGCCCCGCGCTGCCGCCTTCACCTGAGCTGCGCTGAAAACATCTTTGCTGAGAGCCTGGCCGGGCTTCTCGGCATACAGCAGGGATCCTACAGGCAAAAAGAGAGAGAAAAACAGTGGTTTAAGTCTTTTATTCCAAGTGCTTCAGAATGGGAAGATTTTGAGGCTCTAATCCATAAGTGAGGCCTTCAACAAATAACTAGCTCAAATAAATAAATAGCGCAATAGATGAAGCACAGTAGAGCTCCTCGTTCCTCTGCTCAGATATTGAAGGTCCAGTACAGGGAATGCAGCTGTATGAACAAAACAGGAGATTTGCATTTTTACTTTATTATTGTTGCAAATTAAAAACAAACCCTTTTCTCAAACCCCTGAATCTCCAGGGAGCATCTGAGGAAACAATGTTCACGTTGCATTTGGGATGCTTGTTTAAGAGACCATGACAGCAGAACTTTTTGGTTTTCCCATGCATGGGATGCCTGTTGACAGTGTCATCCAGACTCTTCAGTGCCTTTGGATGCTACTGGAAGGATCTTTATCCACAGTTTTGGATCTCTGACTTGAGCATGTAGTAGCAGTAATTAGGCTAGTGCTGCTGAGTAATAATTATTTCAAGGCTTTGCTTAATTTGAGAGGACATTTGAGAAAGAGGAAGTGTCTGGGAATCCAGGGGAAAAAATAACGTAATGGCACTGTTCACACAAGCTGGGCAATCACCTACACTTTCATTTATAGCTTCACCTTGATCTCTTGAACCTCACAAAGAAAAATGATCAAAATGTTTAGCCAGGCAGGAGAGAAATTTCCCCTGGCAGTCTATTTTCCTTTTCCTTTAGACCTTCCCTGCAGGCTTGGAGTGAGCCAGCAGAGTTTTCACACAGCTCACCCACACACAGCCTCTGTCTGGTGCTCACGGCCGTGGTTATCCTGTGTAGGAGGCTGATCCCAGCTCCTTGTGTGAAAAGAAGAGATTTGACATACACAGATGAACAACGTCCTGGTTTATCTCCTGTAACTGACTCAACTGCTGACCTTGCCACTTCTCCCCCTGTGCTCTCACCAGCTGCTGTCATGGGAAAGATTCCCTGATATTTGGGCTGGCCACATGTAAAGTCAAAAGAATGTCCATGGAGAGAGGGGTGGAAGAAGTCCAAGCTGCCGAAAGCAGCAGGCAAGGGGGGTTTGGAGATGGTTCACTGTGAAGCTGTGCCCTCTGAACAGGTGTCTCAGACTTGGGTGTGTAAATAAACTCTTCTACCACTTTATCACGCCTTCTCAGTCACGGATTGTATCAAGAAATAGTTCATTTTTCTCTGCTCAATATGTTCAGGACCTTGAGGTTCCTCCTCCTGTACCAACATATTCCTGTCTAGTTGTTGCAACCTCAGAAATACCACTGCAACATAACCAACACTCAGTGGAACAGATGTAAATGCTATTTCTGTTCTGTCAGTGAGGCACTAAAACCCAAACAAATCCATTCAGGACAGCTTGCTGCAAGGCACACAGGGCACACTGAACATGTTAAAGTCAGTCAGACACCTGGAGTTACAGGTGAAGGGGACTAAAAGAGAAAGGTCACATACAAGTTATAAAAATCCCAGATGCAGAAGCAAATCAAACTTCACCTGCCACTGGTGGCTGGCAGGACAGAGCAGCACCAGTTCCCTGCCTGCTTCTGCCAGGTGCTCTTAATTCTTCCCAATGCTGGCAAATTAAATATTGCAATCTACATTCCCATCCCACAAACACGGTGAAGTGTTTATTTCTTGAGCCCTTACTTGCTGAAAAGGCTGCAGGCTGGGGGCAAGGGTTTGTAGGAATGTCCTCAGCCTCCCCTGCTTCCCGAGGCAGACGTGCCCCAGCCCCGTCCGAAGGTAACACACTTACCAGAAGATGATCTAATGACAAAGCAGAGGAGCCAGAACACTTGGGCTGTCATTTTGAAGTAAAGTTTTTCCAGACTCAAAATGAGCTGGAGTCTTTTATGCCCTTCCCCCGATCCATGCTAATGAGAGGCAGCCTGAGGGGAAACGGGAATCACTGGCTGGACAACCCACTGGAGCAAGACCAAGCTGCTGCCTCCACCAGCCCTGCCTGGAGGAATGTGCTCCTTCCCAAAGGGAACAACCCCCTGGCTGCATCACCTGTGTCCTGGGAATAACACACCCACACGTGGTTCCGGCAGCAGATTTTTATTTTGGGGAGTCTTGCCCTCCTCTGGCATTCTGTAGGGAAAAATCATAGGGAACAAGCCTGGTTTTGCTGGCTGTGGAGAGCTGTGTTCTGGGGGCACTGGGAGATGCTGGAATACACCAGAGCCCTGGGATGCAGGGTCTGGAAAGGATGTGCATGGCAATGGAACATATCCGGGGATTTCTGGCCACCTCCAGTGATACAGCTGCTAATCTCCTCTTTTACTTTCAGGAACCAGTTTCTGTGATTCTTTTCAGACTGAAAAATGCAGTAGTGACTGTCTAGTCCAAGGGAAAGCTCTGCTGATCCCACACAGCTTTATTTTTAAATCTCTCTTTGCCATCATGAAGAACTCTGCAAATTTTCACACCCCAAGCCAACCCTGATTTGGATTACTGAATTAAGAAGGCTTATTTCTAAGTGACCTTATTGCTACACAAGATTTCCATTGTGACAGTTTAACTCACCAGCTGCTGCTGGGTGCTGTGGAAGCTGCTCATGACTTTAAGGGACAATCAACAATTTAAAACTCCATAAAGGCACTGAAAGGCTCCTGAAACCCACCCTTGACAGGAAAATCTAACCCTCAGCAAAGCCTGTGGCATGGGATTCAGCATTGCTTAGTTTAAGCAGTTTGTTTTGTCTTGCCTTAATTAAACAGTTCAATAGGATTCCCTAAAGCTCAGGGCTTTGTCTGCAGCAGCCATGGGTGAAGACACCCAAAGTTCACCAGAACAGCATGGAAAATAAATGACATTTCACCACATCTATTGCTCAAGGAGTTACACTTCTACTGCAGCACTTACTAATCCTTATTTTCCTCTGTTATTTGAAACATTTTAATTCCAGAACTATCCCAAGATAGTTATTACAGGAATAGGAATGTAAACTGAGGATGAGGGAGAGGAGGGCTCCTCCATTGCTTTGGTGAGCAGCAGGTACCTGCAGCAAGCAGAAGCTGGAGTGTGAGTGCTAGCACTGGGGAGGGGGGAGGAGGATGGATGGATGGATGGATGGACGGACGTACACACACATGAGCATCCCACAGACCTGTATGCCAAGGATTTTTCTGTTGAATTAGCTGCTGGTGCAATTCAACCCTCATTCATGTAGGGCTGTGTCTGCACTGTTTCCCCAGACTGTGCCTGGGCAGGATCCCCGTTAAGAGCGCGGTGGTGCTGTTTGGAGCACTCCCAGCATTCCAGCAGCCCCGGGATGCAGTGGAGATGCAAAAGCTTTCCCAGCTGCGCTGGGCAACACAGGGACGGAAGGCGCCACGGCCATGTCCGGGTGTTCCCCAGGGGATGAGAGAGATTCACAGGATCCCCGCGGAGAGGGAGGCTGCCGCACGCAGGACGCGGTACCGGGCACAGAGGGGTTCGTGGGCCGGCCCGGGGCAGCTGCGGGTAAAAGAGCTGCCGGCCCCGGGCACAAGGTGGCCCCAAGGAAGCTCCACAAAACAAGCAAGGCACGACCCAGATGGGACTCGAACCCACAATCCCCAGCTCCGGAGGCTGATGCCTTATCCATTAGGCCACTGGGTCACCCGGCACAAGCTGCGCGCGCCGCCCAGTAAGAGCCCCGCCCGGCCAGGCCCGGCTCCGCCCCACCGCGGACCGTCACGTTCTCCCCGCTCGTGGCTGGTTGGCTACGCCCCTCCCTCCTCGCACACCATTGGTCGCAGTGACGCCAGGCCCCGCCCCACAGCGCGTGCCCGCGGCCCCGCCCGCGCCTCAGAGCGGGTTCCCGCCCTCGGCGCGAGCGCGTCGCTGTCAGACCCGCGCGCGGCCGCGTGAGGGGACCCGGCCGGGGCTGCTGCCCTGGCCCGGGGACACCCGGACACCGCCCAGCACTGTCCCGGGGACACCCGGCCACAGCCAAGCACTGTCCCGGGGACACCCGGACACCGCCAAGCACTGTCCCGGGGACACCCGGCCACCGCCAAGCACTGTACCGGGGACACCCGGACACCGCCACCGCGCTGTCCCGGGGACACACGGCCACCGCCACCGCGCTGTCCCGCGTCTCTAAACTTACCCCTCACGGGCCCGGTCCTGGCTCCTGTGCTGCGGCCGGTAACACCATCCCGTCCCGGTGGCTCCACACTCGGCCTTCTCAGGGAACACCGCCCCCCCCCATCTCCTCAGGGCTCTGTGACCCCTCACGGCCCTTTTGCCCGCCTCACACACGCCTTCTGCTGCCCCTCAACCTCACCCGCAGCTTGGCCGCTGTCCTGCCCCAGCTGCTCAGTCTCCCTCCACCTCTCTGTCGCTTCACTGTGCTGGTAAAAGCCTTCGGAGCTGTCACCTCCCTCACAGCCCACACCGCTTGCAGCACCTCGCACACACCCCTTCGGGCATCCCAGGCACTGCCAGCCCTCTCCCTCCCCTCAACACCCATCCCTGCACCCAGATTTCACTGCTCCAGACCATGCACTGCCTGCGATTCATGACCCAATGGAATTTCTTTGTGCCAGCCTTCCAGTCCTTCAGGAAAGCAGGTGTGTTACCTCCATTTCTGCTTTTAAACTGCCTTTTTTTTTCTTTGT